TTTTAGAAACCTGTTTTTGTCTACTTTAATTTTATCCAACTGTTTCTTTGTTCATTTCCAGAAAATTATATGTTCAGCGACACAATGCAAGGTCAATACTTGTAGTCAGCTCCAGCTCTGGTATCTTAATTTAGTTTGGAATAATGAAGCAAGCTTCCCAAGCCAGTGTCCAATTAGTTTTGAGCTTCTGAAAGTGGGAAACTGTTAAACCTAAAGAAAATGTTCATCATAGTCCAAATATTTATGGACCTAATTGTGTTTTTTGGGATGGAGGGACGCACAGAGCTGCTGTTACACTCCAGATTGTTACACCCATAACATCCTGGAGGATTTATTTTGACCCAATATGTAACCAATGTGTTCAATGTGTAATATAGTTTTATTACAAATGACGTTAACTTAAAGAGCCGGCAACGCCATTTTACCAATGATGCCAAAGAAACAAAGGGAACACTCGCAGCAACAAAAGAAAACAGAACTACTAAACGCAAATAAGGGAGGCACTTCCCACTTCTCACACTTCCTACTTTACTCCTCACCACGGGGAGACACTCTCAGGGCCCACAAGCCCGTCTACTCACTAGTCAAAAAGAGGCTGTCTGTCCAAAACTTAGCAGAAAAACACGTAGAGCCACAGAGGGGAAAAAACACCCTTGCTCACAGCTCATCCCCAGCTTAAATAGCCTCAGAGGTGATTGCTGACTGGATTCAGGCGGCAAACAAGGCTAATCAAGAGCAGCTGTGTCCTGGGGAGAGAGGAGAGTGAGAGGGCAAACACCCCACCCACACACTCCCACAGCCTCACAAGATGTAACACCAATGAATAATCCTAACCCTCATCGGGCTTTATAAACATCATTCATGATGTGTAAATTATTTTACAGCCGAGGTCGCTGGGCTCCATCCTCAGACACAACAACAGCTGTTAAACTGCGCTGCATTCCTGAAATCAAGGACAAATGGTCTGCAGTAGTGTTATTGTTAAAACTAAACGTTGATACTTCTGAGTATCACAGTTGAAACTGAGCTGAAATCTCATAAATACTACCAAACTTCAGTAACTCTGGTGTTTTGCTCTGTTTGTGTCCTCCAGTAAATTCCGTTTGTCCTACTACCCTCACCGCCTGGACAGCTTCAGAGGTCTGCTGAACGACGCCTTCAACGGCAAACTGGAGCACGCCATTTACGGAGATTTCAAGACTTACGTGCCGGGCCAGTCTCAGGCTCCGTGTTACTTCATCCACGTCTGTAAGAAAAAGGCCTAAGAGGAATACCGGGAGCCACCTTGATACGGATGTGCACACAGTGCTTGCAGGAAGGAGGGAAAAACATGTCTGCTTAAAAAGTCCCAGTATTTTAGCTTTCTTTCAAAAATATCGCAGCACACTTTGTCACATGGATACTGAAATCAGTGTCGACTATGAAAAATAATAATGTTGCTTTAAAGCAGTTTTTGTTTTTTTGCCTGTAGCTTTAAATTAAGAGTACATAAAAAAACTTATCTTTTAGGCATTTGAGCTGCCAAGACTGATTGGTTCTGCTAGTCGACACTGTTCATTCGTTTGACTTAAACCACAGTTTGTTGTTGTTTGAAAAGCTACATTTACATGTGTCAGACCATTGTTTTGCCCATGTCTGGTAGTTTTCCTCCAGTGTGCATTCACGCGTTCATCTTTTTGAGCTGCTCTCTACATCCCGCCTCTGTGAACACATTTCAAAACGGTGCTGTACATTTGTGGTAATCTTTCTGCTTTTTGTTGCCAAAAACGTACAAAGATGTCTTCTTAGATGAGTGTATTTTGTAAGTTTACCACTTTCGTCTTAAAAAACACAGATAAACACATATGTCGCTTTGATTACGGTGGCCTGATGTTTTAAAATGTATTTTCAACCTGGAAAGAAAATGCAGCCATTTTTGGCCCGTTGCCTTTGTTCAGGTTGAAGCGAGCCTTTGACAGGCACAGATTGAAGATCTGAATTCAGGTAAACCCAAGAGAACGACGAATAATAACTGTGAATCCCCTCGACTTATACAGGAAAACCTCACCTGCCTGTTAGATCAGATTTCCTCTTCTTTAAAGGGTCATTACAGTAAAGCCTCTCATACCTGAACAGACTTTGCTGTAGAAATGTAAGTTTTGTGATAGGCTTTTAGACAGAAAGCCTTTAAATTGTGTGGAAACTGCCACTAATGAACATGAAGCAGGCCAGTATTGAGCATCAGTGAACATGAAACGACAATAAAAACTGAAACCCCGACTGACTGAACCACGTCATCAAACAGAAAGATGACATTAACATAATAAGATTATTACTGAAGGGCTAACCTGCTTATCAACCAAAGATATTTAAGAATATTTAACTGTGTTCTCTCACGTAGATTAAGAAAACTCTTCACTGTAGATAATGGTGGAAAACATGAAGATTAATTTACACTGCTGTATTATCCAGGTGTAAATATTTTTTTTTCTGTATTTTTGCAAACTCAGTAGGGCCATTTTCACTTTAATGCAAAAGGAGTTCGACCACAGTGAAGTGAAATATTCTCACATCTCTGCCTGAGTGCTTTGTGATATTGATCTAGTGCTTCCTGTAGGACAAAATGTACGGTATGCAAAGTTCATGATTAGTTTAAAAGCAACATTAGATGTTAAGGTGTTAAACATTTTATAAAATTCATTTCCTGCATGATCATTGAAATCTTTCGCCATAAAATAAAAATATTTGAAATAAGCACTGCTGTTTGTGTACACATTATTTTTAGGACAATGCTAAAAGGTTGATGTTTGCTAGTGTAACATGTAACACGAGTACGAAGTGAAGGCTGACGGGGATGTCATTAGCTTTGCAAAAAATTAGCATGAACTGGTTCTTTGAACAGAATCTACCTTTGAGTGTGTGAGTTTGATGGAAATGTAGTTCATAGCTGCTAATTAATGGTCAGTAAGTGATGGCTAATATGAACGGTCACTGAAGTCCAGTAGGCTGAAACATTAGCATGATTGCTAATGTAGCTAATGTAGCATAATGTAGCATGATGATAACCAACTCAAGTGAAACTTGCATCGTCAGAGTCATCTGACAGGTCTTTTTGAGACCATAAATGTCTCCTTTCATGTGAAAAAAAAAAATACAAGTACACACAATGATTGTGTGTTGTAGACACTTTCAGTAATAAGTTAAAATAATTGCCTTCTGTATGAATTTCTCAGTCGGTCATTTAGTTGTGGAGGAATTTAAGCCCACTCTCGTTTACAGCTGCTTCAGCTCACTGAGGTTTGCAGACATTTATTTACACACAGCTCTCTTACGTTTAAACACAGCACTTGGAACAGGTTAAAGTCTGGACTTTGATGACTGGGCCATTGCAATACTTTGATTCTTTTTCTCTTCTTCTTCTGTTGTACATTTGCACAATTTAGCCAAACATTAGCTGTTTGGAGATGTCCCCACATTTGACACCGGGACTCTTTGGTATACAGAGGACTCAGTGACAGCCTAGTGCCCAAATCACCAACCCTTTTATTTATTTTATTTTATAATTGCCAAACATGGTGCTATCCATTATGATCAAGGATTTCCACTTCTGTCTTGTCTCTCCAAAGGTTTTGTCCAAGTCTTGTGATTTATCCATGATTTCAGTTTATCCTTTGCAAACCCACACCTTACGGCTATGTTACTTTTAGAAAAGGCGAAACCTCCCAAAGATGCTTGGCTTGTCTTTTTCAAATTCTACTCTCATAACCTTTGTCATTTAATGTACTGAGGCCTGTAGCATGTGAGATGTAGCTCTTGTGTTTTTTATACTCTGAGCGTTTCACAGTTTTACCTTGCAGCGAGTTTGCTGTGATGTTTCCTCCCTTATTAAAAATCTAATTGTAGAACGACGGATTTAATCTCTCACCTCCAGTTTTCTTTTGACATGTCCGTTACACCAGGGATTTGTCTAGCTTCATGTAGATTAACAGTGAGGTACTGCATGCCTTGTCGAGAGAGTCGCTGTGACAAACTGATACAGAGGATATGAATGTGTTGTGATTTATACACATTAGTCAGAAGTTCTCTAATCCACACAGGGTCAACGCTTCAATAGATAATCAATTAAAACATTTCCTTTGACTATGCTGAAGTGAGAGGAAAACTGTCAAACAAGATGCTTTATTCCATCAAAATTAAATATCAGAGAAGAGCAAAATACAGGCTTGGCACAAGAGGGCAGCATCTCATTATATGATTCCCACAGACCCACGTCTTTCCCTCATCCAACTTTCACAGTGGCTATGTTCCTCATCTGGATCTCATTATCACTTCATCCTCTTCCTTATCAGACTTTTTGTCTGCTAGCTCTTATTATCTGTTATTTATTGGCAGTCATTCTCACACTGGTTTATAGTAATCTTTTTGTTTCTTTTTTTTCTGCATGCTGAATTTTAGCTTCATACCACTTAGTTAAGACAAATTTAATGACGCTGCTCTAGTCAGTTTATTTTATAGCGAGTATGAAACTGATTTAAAGGACTTTTTGAAATTTGCTTTAAATTAGATTTATTTTTCTAGAAGCCACAAGATCCTGCAGCATCTTATTAAAATAGTAGAAAGTTAAAGCATACAGCTGTTTCTTTGTCTGGTGTTTTTGTCAAAGAATGACATTTCCTCTCTCTGTGTATCTGACCTCTGAACACAAACTTGCACACTATCCTCTAGCCTCTCTTCCCTAGAGTGTCTGTATCACATCTTATGCCTGCAAGGCAGGCTATCAGACAGCCGTGCAAAGAGCTGATACACAAACCAGATGTGAAAACCGCTTGCCAGATGTGGCTGCTCTGCTTTGCTTTGCTGTAGTTAAGGGAGTCAAAGTGGTCAACCATGAATGGGTTTACTGGGGAGGATTGCTTTCACAGCACAGTCATTGGCCAAATCAAACAAAAGCAGAGGGAGCTGAGAGAGACCCATTGGCTGGAAAGAAGGAGATGAGTAATTACGACGAATAATGATTATGCTCAAGAGCCTTTAAAGGAGAAAAAGAAAAAGGAGTCAAATTAACGATTTATGCTGTATGGTCTTGTTAAGAATTTATTGAGTTGAAGAGAAAATAATCTTTCTCTGGATTTTCTTGGAAACATTAATAGAAGACAGACTCGAGGCACTTTCATTTTGAATTCTAGCTTTTGACGAAGGAGCTTTGGTCTTTAACATGCCCTTTTAGAAACCTGTTTTTGTCTACTTTAATTTTATCCAACTGTTTCTTTGTTCATTTCCAGAAAATTATATGTTCAGCGACACAATGCAAGGTCAATACTTGTAGTCAGCTCCAGCTCTGGTATCTTAATTTAGTTTGGAATAATGAAGCAAGCTTCCCAAGCCAGTGTCCAATTAGTTTTGAGCTTCTGAAAGTGGGAAACTGTTAAACCTAAAGAAAATGTTCATCATAGTCCAAATATTTATGAACCTATTGGTGATTTTGGGGATGGAGGGACGCACAGAGCTGCTGTTACACTCCAGATTGTTACGCCCATAACATCCTGGAGGATTTATTTTGACCCAATATGTAACCAATGTGTTCAATGTGTACTTTATTCTAGTGAGCACTGTAATACTTTCTCAGGTTTTTAACTTCCTGTGATAGCTTCCAGATCAAATGTGGCAGATTATGAAAACGTACTGAACATAACCCAACACATTTGCCTTAATATTTCATACTGCAACTCTTCATTTACTCACATGTTTTTACAACACACTTACCTCTCCTGTTCAATGAATGTAATAATCTATAGTTATAATACAAGTATATTTAAAGCTGCAGTTATTGCCGTTTGTATGGAATCAGTTCCACAGAAAGCTTTTTAATGTCTTTTAGCTACTTAAACATACCATAAATATTTTTTAAAAGGGAAGAAAAAGTACTATATGTACCAGAAATATCAGAACTTGGTGGGGGGATAAATGCCAACACACTGTTTGGACATTGGCAATGTCTAAACAGTGCTATGCTAGCAATGCTAATGCTAATGCTAATTGCTAGTAACATCCCTTCAGCTTTGCTTAGTGGCCGGTAAAAATCCAATTAATTCTTTGTTCACTATTTCTTGTTATCATTATTTAAATCTTTCTTTGATTTCTTTCATTTTGCTCTTTGGGCAAGGGTTCTTCCCGTCCCCAGTCTTTGTGCTAAGGTAAGCCAAGCTAACAAGCCTGAGCTAGCTTTACATTTAAAGCAGGTTTTAAGCGTTACCCAAGACAAATAAAGCATTTAATATATAGACCGAAGTATTTTTTTATGAGTGTGCGGTACCTGTAAAAACCATTTAAAATCATGCTGTGTAGAATAAAACTAAAGCTCCAAATCTAACATGAAGTGCATAAATTTATACAGTGAACAAAGTAGTGTTAATTAAAATTGGCTTCTGTTTTTAATGAGAGCTTTGCACATTAATAGAGATATTTCAAATGGTTTTCAAATAACGACTGACCCTATGAACAAAATTCTCTCAGGACTGCATATTTATCCAACACCTATTTTAATGTAAATCTAAACTTTAACAACACAATAGAACAACATTTCCCCACCTTTGATAAAACATCACTGCTATGTCAAAATACATTGAATTTTTGTTATTCTCTAACATTACTGCAATGTCAATGTGTGGTGTGTGTTTTATATGTTGTTCAAGGCCACCACTTTGTAACGGTGCCACTTGAGACCAAAGGGATTCCCCACAGGCCGCAGAGTTAAAAATACCCGATTTTACAGCCCTGAGGTACATATTTAAACACTGTTACAGCAAATGGTTTTGACCTCTATGGATGGTTTTCTTCTCCTTATTGATTTGGGGGTTGGTGACGGGGTTTTTGTTATGTTTGTTTTTGTTCAATTTAAAAAAATTTTTTATAAATGATTCACCTACAGACTAGAATAAGGGGTGTGGTTGCTGTTTTGGCAGGTGTCCAACACAAGCAACCGGAGTCAATTACATCTGCTAAGCTTCACCCAAAACCATTGGATGATGTCACTTTTGTAATATAAAAATGTTGCAAGATACCAAACTATGATCAAATGCAACACTTGCGTTATGCAATACCATAATAGCATTAATGATGTTGGCAATTTCTTTGGCTTCTGACATGCCTGCTCATCTGGTTTGCACTTTCTCAGCTCATCTCAGAACGCTGGATGAGATGAGGTGAACATAAGAGCAAAGCAAAAGCAGCCGATACTGTTAACAAAGCAGATGAAGTGATAGGTGTGTACGAACATCAAACCTTTGGGACTTTCTTAAAATAGAAAAGGACACTGTAAAAAAAAAGATAGAAAGGAAAATAGAAAGCAGGTGAGAACCAAGGTTAAAATTCACTTTCACGCCTTTGCCAAAAACACCTTCCAGGAAAAACTTCAAGAGAAAACTGAGGACAACGAAAGCATGTAAAGAGGAAAAACTGCTGAAGTGAGAGAGAGAGAAAAACAGAACCCAGAGGTGCTGAAAGAAAAAAAAAAGCAGAGAAAGAAAAGGGAGGGAAAAGTCAGACAATATCTAACTGGCTTTAGTTGCTTCCAATGTAAGCTGCCAGATTATGATTTTCCAGATGTAAGAAACAGGGGGAAGGGAGGGAAAACAGGAGAGGGGGGGGATAAATTCCTAACTGAGCTTCCAAAGCTGGCCAGAGCACAATTAAGTGCCTTGAAATGGTAGAGTGAGGTGAGGACATCTGAGTGCTTTGATGGCCTCTATTAGCCTCAACAGGAGAAACAGCGCCGGTTAGAGTAAAATAAAATAAGATAAAGCTATCGAGCTTAATGGCTTTCTATAAATTTGTTGAACTGCTTTCTTTCCCCTCACATCTTTACCGATTGTTTGTTTTCCAGGGTGCACAAGAAATCATGTTTTAGTATGCATGTCATGTGATTCCTTCTTACTAGCTCTCAATTTTCAGTTTCTCAGTCCTCGTGTGTGTGTGTGTGTGTGTGGAAGCAGAGCAGCAATACTAAAAAGTCCCAGCTGTCCTTTCCCCAGCTGCTGCTGCTGGAACGTCCAATACGAAGTTAAAGAATATATAAACTGCGTTTTCTGTAAATTCACCTTTGACACTGAGGGTTATTTTTCATGCATGTGTGTGTGCTTACTTTGATGTGTCATGTGTACATAATATGTTTGAATCTGTGCCTCATGGGTTTCTTGAAATCGCTCATGGGGACGGGCCAAGTTAAGGGTCTGTAAGCATTTATGGAATCGTTATAATAAAAGAGTGGGTCACACCAAAAACTCTACAGCAGCTCTGGGATTTTCCAGCCCTCCACTCAGCCTGTGCCAAGTCACTGTTTGGACAGAGAAGGTTGGAGATATTGAATGCCTTGTCTAGTGTTACGCAGGGGAATAGTTTAATCCAGACTGGGCCCATTCTTTCCCACATGAATAGTGTGTGTGTGTGTGTGTGTGTGTGCGTACGTGTGTGTGTCTGTGTGTGTGTGTGTAAGTGAGACAGAGAGAGAGAGACTGGTAAGAGAATCAAGAAACAGACAACATCCTCCTGCCGAGCAGAGAGAGCCCGAGGAACAATAAACCCTGGCGAGTGAAGGAAACACACTGGCTGGGGGCCCACTGCTGGACAAAGCTTGTGTTTTTTGGGGGGACCTAAACAAATAAAACAAACACACCCACCCACAGATGAACACATAGGAAAATCAATATGGTTTATTTATTAGAAAAGGATTGCATGTGGACCAAACCAATTCAAGATGTAATCAATCCTTGAGGGAATGTTTGAGTAAACACCGAGACGGATTTGTAGGTGCACTGATTTTTTTCTTGCTCTGAGTAAAATGTGTTCTCATATTTTTCTCCTTGTGTAACAGGAACTTAAGTGAAATAAGTGTGTCTACATCTAATGGTGAGGTTATGTCCAGACCATAAGTATTAGGTCAGCTACATATTTTTTGTCCTTTGGCTGTACATAAAAGCTGAATGTAGCCTTGTCTTTAAAGGGCCTCCTTGTTACGGGTCTTGTTTGGAAATAATTTTAAAACCTTCAAACTAAGAGTATTAAACGAACATGAAGAAACAAAAGCTATGACATTAGGTCCAAGATGTCTGTGTATGATGTAGTATAGATATCAACTTGGTGAAATAGAGTGTGGCTGTACTCTTGCATAAAACTACTTTTTAACAAAAAAAATAGTTTGGAGAAGCAGGTCACTGCACTGAGACATAACTCAAGGCAAAAGACAGACATAGCTTTCAGGTTTTTACAATGAAAACCAACGAATAATTCAATTTCAATAATATATAGCACCAAATCACAACAACAGTTGCCTCAAGGCTGCTTATAGTGTAAGGTAATGATCCTACAGTAATGCAGATAAAACATAGAAAAAACCCAACAATCAAATGAGCCCTATGAGCAAGAGCTTTGGCGACAGTAGGAAGGAAAAACTGCAGTTTAACAAATTGGTGTGCTATTTGGCTTCAAGGATAGATAAAGTTGGGATCATCTGCATAGCAGTGAAAATATATACTATGTCGTCTAATGATACTGTCTAAGGGAAGCATGTATAATGTAAACGGAATGGGTCCAAGCATGGAACCATGTGGAACTCCATAATTAACCTTAGAGGTGAAGAAGCCTCTCCAGAGTTTATTAGATTGATATGATTCAAACCAATGCAGCACAGCACTTTAATACGTACAGTATGCTCTAAGTGCTGTAATAAAATATATTATATTTTTATAATCACCTTAAACCTTACACCTCGCTGTTTCGTGGATTTTTTAGTGCAAGTTTGCATGCTTATTTTTATGTCACATTGTGTCCTGATCGCTGCAGACCATCTCCTCCGTGACGTCTCTCCTGTACAGTACAGAATCGCTGCATCGATCGCTAGCAGTGTGACTCTGAAGTGCAGTACTGTATGTCCACGAAACGTTTTGCACCGCCAAAAAATAAAATTGGCTACTTGATTTCACCTATCGCTGGTTGTTTTTAGAACAATACACCCGCGATAAACGAGGGACCGCT